CGACGGCGAACGCGGAGCCGCAGCACGAAGACATGTTGAGCTAATCGCTCTCCGGCGTGGGCGCTCGCGTGCCGCTGTGTGCTGCGGTAGCGTTGGCTGTGGTGTGCGTGGGTGCGTGGGAGTTAACTCCGAGCCAGCAGTACGAGGATGTCCCTCAGAGGGGGCGCTCGCGAGGGGGGCCCGATCACTCGCCCGGAGGGGGGCTCGGCGGGAGCCGACTGACGCGTTGGAGCGGAAGGGGCGAACGTCGCGCCGCACCTGCCGAGCGAGCGCGGTGGGGTGGACGTCGTCCCCCACACGTTCACACACCCACACACGTGGAGCTGCGAGGATGGGAGCGGTGGCCCACTGTGCGTGTAGCGATGGGCATCCACTCGGCTCTTGTAGCTGCTTCCGCCGCTGCTGCCCCTGCTGCTGCTATCGTCCAGAGCCGTGGCGAGGCCGCTCATGCCGAGTGGACTGCATCGGAGCCATGCAGGTGTCACGTACAACTCGAGGGTAGATTAAACAAGTTTGTGCGTGGGTTAGATGTAACCTACAAGCAACTGTTGACTCGTTATATTAGTCGTGAAAGCAAGCGTATAACATTAATTGATTAATTAGAGTAATTACGGGATTTAAAAAAAATCTATATTGAAAACTAATTCTTTTTAGAACAGTTTTTTTGTGTTGTTTGTTGTCCTTCCCGCGCGCCTCCGATTAGGACGGTGGGATACGTACGGTGCGAAAGAAGTTCAACATGCATACAAAGTGATAATTGAACCTGATGGCAGGACCCCGGGGTCCCGAAAAAACGGAAGGCAAAATCGTAATTAATTAATTTATTTATTTTTGGCGACTCCGTCCCACCGCGCACATCAGCGCCGCGACCCGCCTGGCGCGGACGTTCTGTTGCAAAACTTTTAAACTTTGATTAGCGCATCGTGTGGAGCTAATCTAGAGGAACTGATTGCCGCGCCGTTCGCCTTCAACAGACATAAAATGACGTCGCACACCTAGGGGGGGGGAGGGGGGTCAGACTTTGTGACGATGTGTGACGAGGGGGGGAGGGGGGGTTTGAGAAATGTGACGTCACATCAAAATGCGCAACTTTAAATAAATGTAAACAATATAATTGTTATAACGACACTAATTTTGATTAATTTTCATCATGAACTATTTTATTATTAATGAAGGAGTATTTTTCTTCTCCATGGGAGAATGGAGAAGCACACATTGTGTAACATTTTCGAATGATTGTTATTAATGAATATGATTGTCATAATTGTACTCTCCATTTTGCTTCGTTCTACTACAAAGTTTCAAGTAATTTTTTTATAGCTATAATTATTTTTAATATTTTATAATTATATGAGAATTTCAATATAATATTCTGAACATCTGCAGTTTTAGTTAGACGTTGAATATTTTCAAGTGAATTTTATGCTAAATTTCAGCTTTCCAACGGCTCCTTTTTAATAAATGCTTTCTCCTACAATATCAGAGTGCAGCGCCACATTAAATACGCACTACAATGACAATAGTTTAAAGTCATTTGAAGCATATTTTATAACAAAAAAATGGAAATATGGTTGGGGGGGGGGCAGAGCTTTGTGACGTCATATTTGAGAGGGGGGGGGTCTGACTTTTTCTGACGCCGTGTAACGGGGGGGGGGGGGCTCACCCCGTGTGAGGGGGGTTTGTGACGCCGTGTGACGAGGGGGGGAGGGGGGGGTCAAAAATCGGCCAAAACCGCGTGACGTCATTTATGGACGGCCCCTAAGGTTCATATTCCCGATCATACCCATATCACGTGATTCGTGTAGCATCGTCTTACCAGTGATATCGCGATAATCGTTACATCGTGATTGATATCGTCTCAATGGTGATCGCGCGGCGCGTTCGCCACGAGGGGGCGCGATGCCCACGCTGTTTGCAGCACAGGGACAGAGGCGGCTTGGCGAGGCCTTCATCCAGCAGTGGATTGAGCAGGCTGAAGACGCACTATAGAATCACGTATAGCCACAGCACGCGCAGACTCCGAGCTACCCCCCCCCCCCACACACAATCACCCAGCAGTGGGTAGACACGGCACTGGATGTGCCCGCGCGCTCCGCGTGCAGCAGCGCGGAGTCACGCGTGGGGCAAGAGCCGTCCGTGCATTCGACGTCGGAATTACATAACCACAACAACATCAATCAGCAACAACAATCTGCCACAACAATCGGCAACAACGATCAGCCGCGTGGTTGAACCCAGGGCCGCCGAGTCGCGAGCGCAGATCGCCTCCTCCACATGCGTGCGGTTACACGGAAGGCGCCCACGATAGATGCAGCTGATGATGATGTTGCCCACGATAGATGCAGCTGATGATGATGTTGCCCACGATAGATGCAGCTGATGATGATGTTGCCCACGATAGATGCAGCTGATGATGATGTTGCCCACGATAGATGCAGCTGATGATGATGTTGCCCACGATAGATGCAGCTGATGATGATGTTGCCCACGATAGATGCAGCTGATGATGATGTTGCCCACGATAGATGCAGCTGATGATGATGTTGCCCACGATAGATGCAGCTGATGATGATGTTGCCCACGATAGATGCAGCTGATGATGATGTTGCCCACGATAGATGCAGCTGATGATGATGTTGCCCACGATAGATGCAGCTGATGATGATGTTGCCCACGATAGATGCAGCTGATGATGATGTTGCCCACGATAGATGCAGCTGATGATGATGTTGCCCACGATAGATGCAGCTGATGATGATGTTGCCCAACGATAGATGCAGCTGATGATGATGTTGCCCACGATAGATGCAGCTGATGATGATGTTGCCCACGATAGATGCAGCTGATGATGATGTTGCCCACGATAGATGCAGCTGATGATGATGTTGCCCACGATAGATGCAGCTGATGATGATGTTGCCCACGATAGATGCAGCTGATGATGATGTTGCCCACGATAGATGCAGCTGATGATGATGTTGCCCACGATAGATGCAGCTGATGATGATGTTGCCCACGATAGATGCAGCTGATGATGATGTTGCCCACGATAGATGCAGCTGATGATGATGTTGCCCACGATAGATGCAGCTGATGATGATGTTGCCCACGATAGATGCAGCTGATGATGATGTTGCCCACGATAGATGCAGCTGATGATGATGTTGCCCACGATAGATGCAGCTGATGATGATGTTGCCCACGATTATGCTGATGATGCTCACGATGCAGCTGATGATGCTGCTGATGATGCTCACGATGCTGATGATGCTGCTGCTGATGCTGCTGATTATGCTCACGGTGATGCTGCTGATGATGCTCGCGGTGATGCTGATGATGCTGCTGATGATGTTGCCGACGATGATGCTCACGGTGATGCTGATGATGCTCACGATGATGATGATCACGATGATGATGATGCTCGCGGTGATGATGATGCTCGCGGTGATGCTGATGATGCTGCTGATGATGTTGCCCACGATGATGCTCACGATGATGCTGATGATGCTCGCGGTGATGCTGATGATGCTCGCGGTGATGATGATGATGATGCTCGCGGTGATGATGCTGCTCGCGGTGATGATGATGATGATGATGCTCACGATGATGATGATGCTCGCGGTGATGATGATGATGATGATGCTCGCGGTGATGATGCTGCTCGCGCTGATGATGATGATGATGATGCTCGCGGTGATGATGCTGCTCGCGGTGATGATGATGATGATGCTCACGATGATGATGATGCTCGCGGTGATGATGATGATGATGATGCTCGCGGTGATGATGCTGCTCGCGGTGATGATGATGATGATGATGCTCGCGGTGATGATGCTGCTCGCGGTGATGATGATGATGATGCTCACGATGATGATGCTCACGATGATGATGATGATGCTCACGATGATGATGATGATGCTCACGATGATGATGCTCGCGGTGATGATGATGAGATGGACTGGACATTCCTGCTCATGTTACCCTCCTTTTCTCTCCCTCTCCCAATCTCTTTCCTTCCTCTTCATCTCTCCCTCCCTCCATCTCCCCTTCAATCTCTCCCTCTCTCTCCCTCGTTCTCCCTCTCCCCATCTCTTTCCTTCCATTCCTCCCTCCCCCTTTCCCTGCACGGAATGGTCGCTTCTCTCGTCTGCCGCCCTCCCACGTCTCCCAGACGCGAGTGAGTGCGTGCCCACGCACGCACTCACGCACGCGTGACGCAAGCAATCGCGTGCACGTTAGAGGCGAGCTCTCTTACGCAATGAGGTGGCCGGCACACGCTCTCACACACACACACACACAAAGATCCTCCGTATAGCCTACGCAGACTTTTGTGGCAAGTGCTGTTAGCGAGCATCTATGTAGGTCGGCACGGCACACGAGAGGGTTGGTGGCCAACACCACGCCCGGCCGCCTTTGTCTCCCTCATTTGAGGCCCAGGACCGGCTCAGATAATCGTCACTGTTGTTGGCCATGAGCTGGGATCGGACTCGGGTCACCGGATTCGTAGCCCAGCGCGCTAACCGTTGCACGACCGCTCCCCATGTGTACAGACATGCGCGTGCAACATACGTGTACACATGCACATGCATGACACGCTTGCACACACATACCCATATACGTGCACGTATACAGAAACGTATACATACACGTACACATGTATATAATACAGACGCGCATACTAACACGTGTACACACGGACACATACACATGCATACACATGCACACATGTAAACACACATACACGTTTACACACTGATACCACTACGCGAGCTATGTGGCACCAACAACACTCACCCTGCAAAGATGTACACACACACAGACACCATCACACACTGTCAAACACACACACTGCCACGCACACACACGCGCGCAGCCACCCACATTGCATGCAGACCTCCTCCACCCCCACCCCTCCCCCATTCCTATCCCCCCACCCCTCTGCCCCCCCACCCCCAATCATACCCCCACGACCCCCACCCAACATCACAGATCTGGGGGTGGGGGTGCTGCTGCTGCTCGCCGCGTTCAGCAGCAGCGGCGGCGGCGTCGTCGTCTCCCTCTCGGTGCGGGCGCCTCTCCGCACGTCTCATCCCAGCCCCGAGCCGCCCCCCACCGCCGCCTCCCCCGAGGAGCGGCGTGAGGATTCGGCGGGGGCACGTTTATTCTTCCCGTTAACAACAACGACGACGGCAGCAGCAGCAGCGGCGGCAGCAGAAGAAGAAGCAGCGCAGGGATTGCGCATAAATACTGCGTGCCGGAGCCGGGGCTCGAGGGCTCGTTGCGGATTGTGTATATTCTTTATTTATTGAGTCGTTGTATGTTTTTAATGAAATAGATCGACGTGGCTCAGTGTGTGTCGGCGAGCCTGCTGCTGAGCGTGCTGGTGAGTCTGTGGGTATCGACAGGACCCGGCGGCCGGCGCGCGCGTGCGCGCGCACCGCGCGCGCCCATGTGATCCCCAAGGTTGATGATGATGATGATGCCTATGATGATGATAACGACGACGATGAAGACCGGGATGACGCTGATGATGATGACGACGCCTGTGCAGACGCTGACAACCGCGATCCCACCATCAACAACAACAGCAGCGGCGGCGGCATCGACAGCGTAAAAAAAAACAACCGCACCGAGACTCGGGCGACCATGACCGCGCAGCGGGCGTGAGCGGCTCCGCATGCATGCGGCGCTCGGCCGGGCAGGCATGGAGCAGCAGCAGCAGCAGCAGCCGCAGCAGCAGCAGCCTCCGCAGCAGCAGCAGCAGGCGACAGGCAGCAGTGGTAGCAGGGAGTGCAGTGGCGGTCATGAGGACGTGCGCAAATGCGGCTATCTGCGCAAGCACAAGAGCTCGCACCGCCGCTTCTTCGTGCTGCGCGGAGCCAGCGACGCGGGCGGCCCGGCCCGGCTCGAGTACTACGACAGCGAGAAGAAGTTCCGCGGCGGCGCGGCGCCCCCGCGGCGCTCGGTCAGCCTCGCCGCCTGCCTCGGCATCATCCGCCGCGCCGACGCCAAGCACAAGCACCTGCTCACGCTCTACGCCAAGGACGAGTGCCTGGCCATGGCCGCCGACAGCGAGGAGCAGCAGGCCGAGTGGTACGCGGCGCTCACCGAGCTGCACGACGAATGCTGCAGGGCGCCGCACGGAGCAGCAGCGGCGGGGGGAGGAGGAGGAGGAGGATGCGGCGCGGCGGCCGGTGGAGGAGGAGCAGGAGGAGGGATTTTCGGCGCGGCCAGCGATGCGGGCGGAGGAGGCGGCGGCGGCGGCGACAGCGGCGAAGACGCCGGGCCCGCGGGGTGCGCGGGGCGGCAGCTACGGAACGATGCCGGCCACCCCCGTGTTCAAGGAGGTGTGGCAGGTGAACCTCAAGCCCAAGGGGCTGGGGCAGACGAGGAACCTGACGGGCGTGTTCCGCCTCTGCCTGGGCACGCGAACCATCAGCTTCGTGAAGCTCAACGCGGACGCGGCGGCCGTGAACCTGCAGCTCATGAACATCCGACGGTGCGGCCACTCGGAGAGCTTCTTCTTCATCGAGGTGGGCCGCTCGGCCGTCACGGGGCCCGGGGAGTTCTGGATGCAGGTGGAGGACTGCGTGGTGGCGCAGAACATGCACGAGACCATCCTGGAGGCGATGCGTGCCATGAGCGAGGAGTTCCGACCTCGGAGCAAGAGCCAGACGAGCGGCGGCGCGGGCGGCGCGGCCGGCGCTGCCGGAGGAGGCCCCCACCGGCGCCAGCAGCGCTACCAGCCCCCGCCGAGCCAGACGGGCCTCAACCGGCGCTCGCGGGCCGAGAGCGTGGCCGGAGCGTCCCCCGTGAGCGGCGGCGGCGGCGTCACCCCGCAGGGGAGCGGCTTCTGCGCCTCGCAGCTGCGGAACCGCGCGAGCAGCGAGGGGGACGGAGCTCCGGGCGCGCCGCGCTCCGAGTCTGCGGACGCCATCTCGGCGCGCCTCCTCCTCCTGCAGGGGGAGGACGCCGAGGGCCGGCTGCAGTCCTCTCAGCTGGTGTGCGCGGGGCGCCGGCAGCAGCAGCACCACCAGCACCACCAGCACCACCAGCAGCAGCAGCATGGGCAGGTAATCGCATCGTACCAGCGGCATCAGTCTCGCATGCAGCAGCAGCAAGGACATCTCCACCACCACCACCAGCAGCAGCAGCAGCAGCTGCACCACGCGGCGGCCACGCTGCTGCCCGGGCGCTCCGTGTCGGCGCCCATCGCGCGATCCCCCCCCGCGGGTGGCTGCTCCCCCTCGTCCCTGCTGCTCTTCTCGGCATCGTCTCTCATCACGAGCCCCGTGAGCGTCTCCTCCAGCAGCGGCCGCGGCTCCGTGGACGCCCCGTGCTGCGTGGGCAGCCTGGGCAGCACGGGGGGCGGCGGGGCCGGCGGCGGCGGCGGCGCGGCCGGACACGCGGCAGTCGGCGCGGGAAGCTGCGGGGCCGCGGCGCTGGCCCGCGGCTCTCGCCCCTCGAGCGCCTCCATGTCGCTCGGCTCCCTGAGCGACGGGGGCTTCGTGTCCTCGGACGAGTACGGCTCCAGCCCCTGCGAGCCGCGGGGGTCCGCGACCCCCGACTCGCCCAGCCCGACCCCGTGCGCCATCCGCGAGGAGGAGGAGGAGGCGGCCGCGGCGGCCGCGGCGGCGGCGGCGAGGGGAGGCCCCTACGCCTACATGCAGATGGGCCGCGCTCGCGTCTACAGGGCCGCGCCCCGCGGGCAGGACGCCCCGGACGCAGCCACCACCTCGTCCACCGCCTCGTCCACCTCCCCCGGTTTCCCCCCAGCCTCGTCTTCGTCGCAATCGTCGGCGGCGGCCGCGGTTGCGGCGGCCCTGGCCTCAGCGGAGAAGGGGGTCGTGCGTAAGCGAACATACTCGTGCGCGTCGGCGTCCGCGGGGCCCGCGATGCCACCGGCCGCGCTCGGGCCCTGTCTCCAGCAGCGGGAGCAGGAGAAGACAGCCTCGCAGGAAGAGTATGCGGTCATGGGAGCGCTGTCTTACCAACACCACCATCAGCATCATCAGCAGCACCTCCAGCAGCAGCAGCATCATCAGCAGCACCTCCAGCAGCATCATCAGCAGCAGCAGCAGCACGCGCCGGGCCGTGAGGCCGCTGCGCCTCCTTGTTGCCCGCACACTCGCGACCCGCACCATGGCGACCACGACGATGATTATGACGATGACGACGGGGGCGGTGGCGACGATGAGGAGGACGACGATGCGGCCGGAGGAGGAGACGTGCAGTCCAGGCTGGTGCATAGCGGGGATGACGGCTACATGCCCATGCTGCCCGGCGTCACCGCCTCCGTCGCGGGAAGGTGCAGGAGCGGCGGCGATGCAGACTACGTGCCCATGGGGGCCACGGGTGCCCGAGACGGTGACATAACCGCAGCCGCCGCCACCACCACCTCGGCAGCGGCAAGAGGATCGCTGATACAACATCAGCAGCGGCAGCGGCACCATCACCACCATCACCAACAGCAGCAGAAGCAGCCGTGGCAGCGCGGCCAAGACGGCCTCTGCGACGCGCAGCCCCAGGACGCTGCTAGCGGCTACATGGTGATGTCACCGGGCGCGGGCGAGGGCCAAGCGGCCGGGTCCATCAAGACGTGGCCCAGGCCCAGCGTGGCCAGCGGTAGTGGCGGCGGCGTCGTTGGTAGCGGCGTCGGCGTCGGCGCGAAGGCGGCGTGTGAGAGAAGCGTGGAGGCGCGGGCAGGCCCGCCGGGAGCAGGCGACTACATGAACATGGCCACGTCACCCGCCAACCCGGCCATCGTGGCGGACACAGCGGCTGTGCCAGAGGGCTGCTACTTCAGCCCCATGCGGGATGGGGAAGGCGCGGGTGGTGCTGGTGGTGGTGACGGTGCTGCTGGCAGCAGCAGCAGCAGCAGCTTCTACTCGTTGCCCCGGTCCTTCCGGCCCGTGGGGCAGCAGGGTAGCAGGCTGGCGGAGAGGGCGGCGGCCACTCGGCCACTCGGGGAGGTCATCCGGGAGGCGAGGGACGCCGCTCCGACCCCCACGAGCAGGCCCGCCGCGCTCTCCCGGCCCCGCGAGGACGCCTCGAGCAGTGACCCCGGGAGGCAAGGAGGCGCACGCGTGAGCGGGGCCCCGAGGCGGGTCGGGGGAGCGGCGGCGGAGGGGGTCACCACGAGGGACGCACAGGGCCGGTGGCAGGGAGCTCCCCCCGAGCCCAGGAGCCCCGGGGAGTACGTGCACATCGACTGCGCCGCGGCGGCGAAGGCGGCCTCCCAGCCCGTCTCATCGTCGTCCGCTTGGCGCCCCCCGCAGCACGCGGCAGGGCCGCAGCAGGGCAAGGCCCCGGACGGTTGCCGCGCAGCGCACCGCGGCCCCCCGTACCTGGCGCTGTCGTCGGGAGGCGCCGCCGCCGCCGCCGCCGCCGCCTCGGCCGCGGCCGCCCAGACACGCGGCGATCGTCGGAGGAGGAGCGCGAACGAATACGTGAGTGTGGCGGCGGCGGCGCGTGCCGGGGGGCCACCCGCGTCCGTCCCGGCGGGCCCCCGTCCCGCAGCCCACCCGGGTCCGTGGGACGCCGCCTCGGCTGGGCGCGGCGCCCCCGTGGGGGGGGACTACACGGAGATGTCGCGCCGCGGGGAGGCGAGCGCGGAGGAGGAGGAGGCGGCGGGGAGGAGGAGGAGAGACGCGACTGGGGGGTACTCGGCCCCCACCGCCTCATACAGGGCTCCTCACGGCAGCTACAACCTCCAGCATCACCACCACGGGAACCACAACCACATCCACCACTATCAGCTGCTGCAGGAGCAGCAGCATAAGCCACTCCCTCTCCCACAGCAGCAACAACATCAACAATATCACCAACAGGAGCATCATCATCAGCACCCTCAGCAGCAGCATCAGTCGCACGCAGGAGTGAGGCCCGGATATGCGGCACTGAAACCCTGCGTGCCGCCAAGGATCGGCTTGGCCTTCCAGCCGTACGCGGCCGGGTCTGGCGCGGTGGTCATCCCGGCCACGACCGGGGCCACCGCCGCACCACCGCCACCTCCTCCCCCTCCTCCTCCACCAGCGGCGCCGCGCCGGCAGAGCGCGTTCAGCGTGGTGCCACCAGCAGCCGCGCAGCACGGCGCGACGCGGCCCGGGACCGCGGCCACGACGGACGAGGAGGAGCGGCCACGCGGTGGCGTGGCCCGGGTGGCGGTGGCCTCATCGGCCGCCGCGACCCCGCAACGGCCCGGCGCGGCCGGAGGACACCACGGCGCGGGTCCGGTGCGAGAAGCCGCCGGGTCTCACTCTTTGCATCAGCAGCATCATCAGCAGCAGCATCAGCAGCAGCAGCAGCAGCTGGAGAGCGGGCTGAACTACATCGCGCTGGACCTGCGGGGCGAGGAGGGCTCGGCGGGCAGCAGGGGCAGCGTGAGCAGCGTCGACTCAAACGGTTACGCCACCATCGACTTCTCCCGCTCCGAGAGCGCGGGGTGACGCGGTGAGTCGCGACTCGCTCACCCCGAGACTCACCTTGACAATCACCCTGAGACTCACCCCGAGACTCACTCCGACAGGACACCTCATCCTCACGAGACTCACCTGAACGAGATTCACCCAAGTACTCACCCTGACGAGACTCGCCCATAGTTCACCCCGAGACTCACCACGAGACTCACCACGAGGCACACCCCGTGGCTCACTCAAGGGGCTCACTCAGAGTCTCACCTTTAGACTCGCTCACAGACTCACCCCGTGACTGACACGGACACTCACCCAGAAACTCACCTGGAGACTCACACGGACACGTACCGAGATACGCTGTCCAATAATCGAGTGTTAGCCCCTCCCCTTGGCACGAGTGGGGTTTTCTCCGGACACTCCTCCCTCCCACGTGTGTCGTCGACTAGGTGGTCGAGGAATTCTGGCAGACAGCCCCAGTACGTACAGGACCACAAAGCTTGGGCATTTGTTGGTCGCGCGCCGCTTATGGCGGCCTTCCAGCTCAGCTGTGGTTTCCCATGCCGCGAAATCATTCTCTCGCTCTCTCGCTCTCTCTCTCTCTGAACCATTCTCTCTCTGAATCATTCTCTCGCTCTCTCTCTCTCTCTCTCGCTCTCTCTGAACCATTCTCTCTCTCTGAATCATTATCTCGCTCTCTCTCGCTCTCTCTCGCTCTCTCTGAACCATTCTCTCTCTGAATCATTCTCTCGCTCTCTCTCTCTCGCTCTCTCTGAACCATTCTCTCTCTCTGAATCATTATCTCGCTCTCTCTCGCTCTCTCTCGCTCTCTCTGAACCATTCTCTCTCTGAATCATTCTCTCGCTCTCTCTCTCTCGCTCTCTCTGAACCATTCTCTCTCTCTGAATCATTCTCTCGCTCTTTCGCTCTCTCTCTCTCTGAACCATTCTCTCTCTGAATCATTCTCTCGCTCTCTCTCGCTCTCTCTGAACCATTCTCTCTCTGAATCATTCTCTCGCTCTCTCTCTCTCGCTCTCTCTGAACCATTCTCTCTCTCTGAATCATTCTCTCGCTCTCTCGCTCTCTCTCTCTCTGAACCATTCTCTCTCTCTGAACCATTCTCTCTCTGAATCATTCTCTCGCTCTCTCTCTCTCGCTCTCTCTGAACCATTCTCTCTCTCTGAATCATTCTCTCGCTCTTTCGCTCTCTCTCTCTCTGAACCATTCTCTCTCTGAATCATTCTCTCGCTCTCTCTCTCTCGCTCTCTCTGAACCATTCTCTCTCTCTGAATCATTCTCTCTCTGCATCATTCTCTGTCTCTGAATACTTCTCTAGCTCTGAATCATTCTCTCTCTAAATAATTATAAATCTCTGAATCATTCTCTGAATCATTCCCTCTCTGAATCAATCTCTCTCTGAATAATGATTGCTCACTGAATCATTCACTCCCTTTCTGAAAGCGAATGATTCAGAGAGAGACAATTCATTTTCTCTTTCTGATAGCGAATGATTCGGAGAGAAACTTCAATCTTTCTACATCTGAGAGTGAATGGTTCAGAGAGAGATAATTCACGCTCTCTTTCTGAGAGTGAATGATTCAGAGACAGAGATAATGCATAATCTCTTTCTGAGAATGAAGTAAAACTGAATCGCGAGGGCAGCAATGGGGTGGGGGGGGGGTGACGCTCCGTGCCGCCTCGCAGCGAGAAGACCCTGGGCTGGGCCTCAGACTCAGGCACATTTACGTGTGCGGTGTGTGTGTGTGTGGTGTGAGTGTGGTGTGTGTAGTGTGTGTGGTGTGTGTGGTGTGTTGTGTGTAGTGTGTGTGGTGTGAGTGTGTGTGGTGTGTGTGTGTGTGTTCGCCGAGTTCAAATCCCGCTCACGGCCAACCCCAGTGACGTTTATATGAACCGGTCCTGGGCCTCCTCGAAGTCTGCTAAGCCGCAAATGAGTACCTGGTGCCACTCTGGAGACAAAGGCGGTCGGGCCACCTCCTCGTGCGCCGTGCCGACCTTCATAAGTGCTGGCTAACAGCGCTCGCCCCACCCATCTGTCAAGGCTTTACGGGGGATTAATGCTTTATGTGTGTGGGTGCGATGGGGACACAAAGGTGGCCGGGCGTGGTGCTGGTCACCCCACTTCTGTGTAGCCTTCAACATTCTGTTAAAGGCTACACGGGAGATCTTTGTCTGTCTGTCTTTGAGTGAGCTGGAGAACACACGTGACGTCCAACGTCCGTGAGCAGACGAGCCGCAAGGGAGACGCGGGGAGTCCCGGGCCGCGCTCCGGCTCGCACGCGATGTCACGTCGTGGGTATCATTCTGTCTGTGTGTGTCTCTGTCTGTGTCTCTCTGTCTGTGTGTCTCTCTGTCTGTGTGTCTCTGTGTGTCTGTCTGTGTGTCTCTGTCTGTGTATCTCTCTGTCTGTGTCTCTCTGTCTGCGTGTCTCTCTGTCTGTGTGTCTGTCTGTGTGTTTCTGTCGGTGTCTCTCTGTCCGTGTGTCTCTGTCTGTGTGTCTCTGTCTGTGTGTCTCTGTCTCTCTGTTTGTTTCTATCTGTGTATCTCTCTGTCTGTGTCTCTCTGTCTGCGTGTCTCTCTGTCTGTGTGTCTCTCTGTCTGTGTGTCTGTGTCTGTGTCTCTCTGTATGTGTGTTTCTGTCTGTGTCTCTGTCTGTGTCTCTCTGTCTGTGTGTCTCTGTCTGTCTCTCTGTCTGTATGTCTGTCTGTGTGTCTCTGTCTGTGTGTCTCTGTCTGTGTGTCTCTCTGTGTGTGTGTCTCTGTCTGTGTCTCTCTGTCTGTGTGTCTCTTTGTCTGTGTGTATCTGTCTGTGTCTCTCTGTCTGTGTGTTTCTGTTTGTCTGTTTGTCTCTGTCTGTGTATCTCTCTGTTTGTGTCTCTCTGTCTGTTTGTCTCTGTCTGTGTGTCTCTGTCTGTGTGTGTCTCTGTCTGTGTGTGTCTCTGTCTCTGTGTGTCTATGTCTGTGTGTCTCTCTGTCTGTGGGCCCCTGTCTGTGTGTCTCTCTGTCTGTGTGTGTCTCTGTCTGTGTGTCTCTGTCTGTGTGTCTCTCTGTCTGTGTCTCTGTCTGTCTGTGTGTCTCTGTCTGTGTGTCTCTCTGTGTGTCTCTGTCTGTGTGTCTCTGTCTGTGTGTGTCTCTGTCTGTGTGTCTCTGTCTCTCTGTTTGTTTCTATCTGTGTATCTCTCTGTCTGTGTCTCTCTGTCTGCGTGTCTCTCTGTCTGTGTGTCTCTCTGTCTGTGTGTCTGTGTCTGTGTCTCTCTGTATGTGTGTTTCTGTCTGTGTCTCTGTCTGTGTCTCTCTGTCTGTGTGTCTCTGTCTGTCTCTCTGTCTGTATGTCTGTCTGTGTGTCTCTGTCTGTGTGTCTCTGTCTGTGTGTCTCTCTGTGTGTGTGTCTCTGTCTGTGTCTCTCTGTCTGTGTGTCTCTTTGTCTGTGTGTATCTGTCTGTGTCTCTCTGTCTGTGTGTTTCTGTTTGTCTGTTTGTCTCTGTCTGTGTATCTCTCTGTTTGTGTCTCTCTGTCTGTTTGTCTCTGTCTGTGTGTCTCTGTCTGTGTGTGTCTCTGTCTGTGTGTGTCTCTGTCTCTGTGTGTCTATGTCTGTGTGTCTCTCTGTCTGTGGGCCCCTGTCTGTGTGTCTCTCTGTCTGTGTGTGTCTCTGTCTGTGTGTCTCTGTCTGTGTGTCTCTCTGTCTGTGTCTCTGTCTGTCTGTGTGTCTCTGTCTGTGTGTCTCTCTGTGTGTCTCTGTCTGTGTGTCTCTGTCTGTGTGTGTCTCTGTCTGTGTGTCTCTGTCTGTGTGTCTCTGTCTGTCTGTTTGTCTCTGTCTGTGTATCTCTCTGTTTGTGTCTCTCTGTCTGCGTGTCTCTCTGTCTGTGTGTCTGTCTGTGTGTTTCTGTCGGTGTCTCTCTGTCCGTGTGTCTCTGTCTGTGTATCTCTGTCTGTGTGTCTCTGTCTCTCTGTTTGTCTCTATCTGTGTATCTCTCTGTCTGTGTCTCTCTGTCTGCGTGTCTCTCTGTCTGTGTGTCTGTGTCTGTGTCTCTCTGTATGTGTGTTTCTGTCTGTGTCTCCGTCTGTGTCTCTGTCTGTGTGTCTCTCTGTCTGTGTCTCTCTGTTTGCGTGTCTCTCTGTCTGTGTGTCTCTGTCTCTCTGTTTGTGTCTGTCTGTGTATATCTCTGTCTGTGTCTCTCTGTCTGCGTGTCTCTCTGTCTGTGTGTGTCTCTGTCTGTGTCTCTCTGTCTGTGTGTTTCTGTCTGTCTGTTTGTTTCTGTCTGTGTATCTCTCTGTCTGTGTGTCTCTATCTGTGTGTCTCTCTGTCTGTGTCTCTCTGTCTGCGTGTCTCTGTCTGTGTGTTTCTCTGTCTGTGTGTCTCTGTTTGTGTCTCTTTGTCTGTGTGTCTGTATGTGTGTCTCTGTGTGTGTCTCTGTCTGTGTGTGTCTCTGTCTGTGTGTCTCTGTCTGTGTGTCTCTCTGTCTGTGTATCTCTCTGTCTGTGTGTCTCTGTCTGTGTGTCTCTCTGTCTGTGTGTCTCTCTGTCTGTGTGTCTCTCTGTCTGTGTGTCTCTCTGTCTGTGTGTCTCTGTCTGTGTGTCTCTGTCTCTCTGTTTGTGTCTGTCTGTGTATCTCTCTGTCTGTTTCTCTCTGTCTGCGTGTCTCTCTGTCTGTGTGTCTCTCTGTATGTGTGTCTCTGTCTGTGTCTCTCTGTCTGTGTGTCTCTGTCTGTGTGTCTCTGTCTGTGTCTCTCTGTCTGTGTGTCTCTCTGTATGTGTGTCTCTGTCTGTGTGTCTCTCTGGCTGTGTCTCTCTGTCTGTATCTCTGTCTATCTCTGTCTGTGTGTCTCTCTGTCTGTGTGTGTCTCTGTGTCTGTGTGTCTCTGCCCGTGTCTCTGTCTGTGTGTCTCTCTGTCTGTGTCTCTGTCTGTGTCTCTCTGTCTGTTTGTCTCTGTCTGTGTGTCTCTGTTTGTGTGTGTCTGGCTGTGTGTCTCTGTCTGTGTGTCTCTGTCTGTGTGTCTATGTTTGTGTGTGTCTGGCTGTGTGT